TGGCCTCAATCGCAAATAATCATTCCTTGTAAGGCATCAAAGGGAGACTAACCTGAAGCAGGATCGTAGAACACTTAGCCGTAAGAGAACATGAAGAGGCAGTCCCACGAGTTAGAATTCAACCACGTAAAATTGAGTTATGTGATAACATTTCCCCGCCGCTGTATGAACCCACACACACACACACACACACACACACACACACACACGCACACACGCACACACACACACACACACACACACACACACACACACACACACACACACACACACACACACACACACACACACACACACACACACACATATACACAATGTTGTGTGTATGTGTGACGTGTTGACTTTCTAAGTCAACACGTCAAGGGACCGACAAGAATGAGAGAAGAGGATGAACCAGCCTTGCTTGACCTGATATTTACCCTAAATGAGTCGGATATAAGGGAAGTTAAGTTGGAAACCACCTTGGGAATGAGTGATGATAGTGTATTGAGGTTTGAGTACCTGGTTGAGCTAGGAATTATCACCCCCAAAAATAACTGGGAAACAAAGGGCTGCCGTACTGAAAAGGAAACTATGAGGAAATGAATAAATTCCTAACGAATATACAATAGGACACAACTCAGAACCAAGTCCGTACAAGACATGATGAACTATGTCACCCAAAAGTACCAGGAGGCTGTAAGCAGGTTTATCCCGGTCCGACAAGAAAAAAATGAGAAGCAAAAGAAGAATCCAGAGCTAAGAGGCATGAGTTACGAGGAAAGGCTGCGAGAGATGCACCTTACGACACTGGAAGACAGAAGAGTAAGGGGAGACATGATCACTACCTACAAAATCCTCAGGGGTATTGACAGGGTAGACAGGGATAAACTATTTAACACTGGTGGTACATGATCAAGGGGACACAGGTGGAAACTGAGTACCCAAATGAGCCATAGGGACGTTAGAAAGAACTTTCTCCAGTGACAGAGTAGTTAACAGGTGGAATGCATTAGGCAGTGACGTACCTGCTTGATACCTGCTTGATGGAGTTCTGGGAGTTCTTCTACTCCCCAAGCCCGGCTCGAGGCCAGCCTTGACTTGTGAGAGTTTGGTCCACCAGGCTGTTGCTTAAAGCGGCCCGCAGGCCCACATACCCATCACAACCCGGTTGGTCCGGAACTCCTTGAAGAAAACAATCTAGTTTTCTCTTGAAGATGTCCATGGTTGTTCCGGCAATATTTCTGATGCTTGCTGGTAGGACGTTGAACAACCGTGGACCTCTGATGTTTATACAGTGTTCTCTTTGCCTATGGCACCTCTGCTCTTCACTGGTTCTGTTCTGCATTTTCTACCATATCGTTCACTCCAGTACGTTGTTACTTTACTGTGCAGATTGGGACCAGTCCCTCCAGTATTTTCCATGTGTACACTATTTGGTATTTCTCTCGTCTATATATATATATATATATATATATATATATATATATATATATATATATATATATATATATATATATATATATATGTATATATATATATATATATATATATATATATATATATATATATATATATATATATAGGTGGAGGCTGACTGCATACACAGTTTTAAATGTAGATATGATAGAGCCCAGTAGGCTCAGGAATCTGTACACCAGTTGATTGACAGTTGAGAGGCGGGACCAAAGAGCCAAAGCTCAACCCCGCAAGCACAATTAGGTGATTACACACACACACACACACACACACACACACACACACACACACCACACACACACACACACACACACACACACACACACACACACACACACACACAACACACACACACACACAAACTTGTTTCAAGTGTAGATATGATAGAGCCCAATAGGATCAGGAACCTGTACACCTGTTGATTGACGGTTGAGAGGCGGGGCCAAAGAGCCAGAGCTCAACCCCCGCAAGCACACCTAGGTGAGTACACACACACACACACACACAACGGTGTGTTGACAGGGTTGACAAGGATGGATTATTTAACACGGGTGGCACACGCACAAAGGAACACAGGTGGAAGCCGAGTACCCAATGAGCCACAGAGATATTAGAAAGTACTTTTTCAGTGTCAGAGTAGATAGTAAATGGATTGCACTAGGAAGTGATGTGGTGGAGGCTGACTCCATACACAGTTTCAAATGTAGATATGATAGAGCCCAGTAGGCTGGAATCTGTACACCATTAGAATGACTGTTGAGAGGCGGGACCAAAGATCCAAAGCTCCACCCCCGCAAGCACACCTAGGTGAGTACAACTAGGTGAGTACACACACACTCACACACACACACACACACACACACACACACACACACACACACACACACACACACACACACACACACACACACACACACACACACACACACACACACACACACACACACACACACACACCAAAAACATCATAGAGGAACTTTTCAGATTAAGCCATGATCAGTGATGGAGATTTTTCCAAAGTGAGAAACTCTTGGATATAAATTTTAATAACATCGTAAACGAATCTATTTCTGTCAGATTAGCATATATTAACTAACAGAATCAAGATCTAACAAATCTTCCTTAAATCTTAGACAATTTTATTAATTTGCCTCCGCTAGATTGGAGATCTTTCATCAGGATTAACTATAGTTAATATACAATAATTTTTAGTATGATAAGTAATCATGTAATACATTTTTATTTGAAGATGAATTTCAAATATCACTACAGTAACTGTCGTCTTTTATTAACAAATTGACATTTTTATCTATATATTTAGGCAAATGTGTCAGCTACCTAATAAATCTTTTTAACTCTGTTAATGACTAACATTTGTATCACAAACAGTTGACTACGTGATGTGTGATCTGAAAACCAAGCAAAGAAAATGTTAATTGTAAATTAGTCCACTTTGATTTATTCAGTTGGTCTCGGTTATCATGTAGTGTCTTGCTTGTGTGTGTGTGTGTGTGTGTGTGTGTGTGTGTGTGTGTGTGTGTGTGTGTGTGTGTGTGTGTGTGTGTGTGTGTGTGTGTGTGTGTGTGTGTGTGTGTGTGTGTGTGTGTGTGCGTGTGTGTGCGCGCGCGTGCACATAACAAGTGAAAAATCAGTGTTATCATATTGATAACGCTCTCACAGATCCTTGCGCTTCAATAGCAAACTATAACAACACTACGATCAGATGGAAGTGATATCAAAGCAACATTCCCGGCAATAAATTAAGTACGAACACGAAGAGACATTTATCGATAATTACTCGTATATCTGTTGACATTTAGCGAAGGTTGTCATTACCGTCCACTAGTCGTCACCCTCTCTGTATTGAACGCTGCCACAGGAGCTGAATGGGTGTCGCTATTGTCTCTACCAGAGAAATTATATTGTAGACTGATTGGGAAATAAGTCAGTGTGTGGCCCTCGGGTTTCTTTCAACATTTTACTTCGGTGAATTGTTTTGCGTCCATAATCACCGAAGGATTGCATAGTGAAGATCTTTGCATGTAAGGTAGGGCAATTATTAGGAGAAAGATCTTTATATGCATTCAAGATAGCTATTTTTATCTTCAAATCGCTTGGGGGAAGGAAATGGTGAAACTAATAAACAATAATGAGAGTTAAGACATCCTTATACAACAAGAGAGATGCAACATGCTGGTCAGTGTTTGTTGGATCTCTTGTTTGACTTTTGCCAGATGGGAGATGTTTCGTTCCAATCATATTTCACACTACATATAGAACAAGTTTTATGTTCTTCAATTCACAGAACACTATTACTCAGAAAACATTAATAATTTTTTATGTCATATGTGTATGTTGTCTCTCAAGGTGGACATCTGAACCTTACTATATTCGAAAGACTGCAGTGAAGGCTAGGAAAGGATTCAATACCTATTCCCCAAGTCTGATATGGATCGGTATTTGATCCCATTGTGAGCTGTTCAGGAAATTGAACGCTTTCATGACACTCCGTTTCTGGCGCTTATCGAATTCGCTTTGTCTTATAAAGGTTGAATATCCCGGAAGTAACATTGCATCGACTCATCAAAGAGAGTGAATAGGAAAGATAACATACTGATATAATTAACTAGAGTAAGTAAGTAGTCAACTAATCAGTCATTCAGACAGTTCAACGTTTGCTAGCAATTTTCCTTCTCGAAAGCGTCCAGTGGTTCAGGTCAAAGATAAGAGATGAACTTGAAGCTGGAGTGAGGCGCAGTGGAACGCCGGAAGCCCGCAGGCCGGCTGGTAAGGTAACTGTGAGGGGAAAGCTTAAAGCCAATATAACTACGTAGCACTTGATAGGAATATGAAGACAAGGCTCTAGGATAGAGCGGAGGAAAGGAATGGTGTCCAACAGCTTGAACCATCGGGAATCGAATGCCGACCGGCAAGAAGCGAGACCTTCGCCGTACTGGGGTTGGTTAATTAAGCCAAATAAAGTTAACAAGCATTAAAAATCCCCTGAAGCGCTGGAGTGCTTATTGCTGAGCATATTTGGTACATAAATATCTTATTAATATCATGGCTGTGTAAAAGTGGGGGATATTAAAAACATTTTTGGTCTAAATTCTGCATGTGATTATAATAGGTTCACAAAAAATGTTAGACCATACATTAATTAATTAGCACAAAATTATTATTTAGCTATGTAACGTAGTATTACTGGGAAATTCATTACAAAATTACGCTACGTAAAATTCCCGCTGGTATAGAGGAGTGAATTCCATTCTAGTGCATTATTATTTTTGGTCATATCGTTCAGTATTTTTTGCGTTAATTAATGAGCGTCTTTCTCTATATAAGTTATCAGAAAGGTACCTTGTTGGTGCTATCTGGAACTTCTGGTACCTTGTTGGCACTCCTGGAAAGTTCGAATACCTTGCTAATACCCGCAGAAACTTCAGATACCTTACTGATACCACCACGAACTTAAGGTATCTTACTGGTATCCCTGAAAACTTCAGGTACGTGGCAGGTACCTCGGAAACTAGGGTACCAGCATGAAACCAAAAGTTATCAGAGATACCAGCAAAATACCTGAAATTTCTGAAGGTACCAGCAAAATACCTGAAGTTTCTGAAGGTACCAGCAAAATGCCTGAAGTTTCTGAAGGTATCAGCAAAATACCAGAAGTTTCTGAAGGTACCAGACCTGAAGTTTCTGAAGGTACCAGCAAAATGCCTGAAGTTTCTGAAGGTATCAGCCAAATACTTAAAGTTTCTGAAGGTACCAGCAAAATGCCTGAAGTTTCTGAAGGTACCAGCCAAATACTTAAAGTTTCTGAAGGTATCAGCAAAATACCAGAAGTTTCTGAAGGTACCAGCAAAATACCTGAAGTTTCTGAAGGTACCAGCAAGGTACTTCAATCTTCCTGGGAGTATTTATTAGCAAGGAACCCGAAGTATTTTTTTTCCATAATTTTTTCTTTACCCTATTTCCAAATTAGATTTACACAGGTCTTACCTGAATATAAATGTATATCATGTCTGCAGAGGGACAGATCGATGTTGGTGGTGGTGAAAAAAAGTCAGTTGACTAATTTAGTGGACACTTGGGAGGAAGTTGTTAAACAAAAATTAAAGCCCAACAAACCAATGTTTCATTATAAGAAAGATTAATATCGAGAAAATGTACATCATCATATCTGCTCAAAATGTATTTCAAAGAATGACAAGGAAGACCATTGAGGAATTAAAAATTAAGGTAAAGAGTTTAGGTGAAACTGTTAATGTAAATAAACTACTGCCCGAGCCGGTCAATAATATATATCAGTCCATCGTTCTTTTTTGGTTAGTACTTATAGTATCAATGAGGACCATAGTATATATACCGACGAACAACGAAACTAAGAAGTAGAAATCGGCTCTATTGAGTTGGACAAACCGGAAAACTATTTCTTACTTGTGTTGCAAAGACAAACTAAAGTAACCTAACCTAGCCTTCTTAGGTCTAATACACGATATCCGAGGCCTAATATAGTACATATGTGTGCTATACTAATCCTAGGAATATTAAAGTATGTTCTTAGATGCATTTTTTAAAAATTTCCAACGAGTCAGTATACTAGTATCTATAAACTAAGTATGTACGAAGAACTTAGTACGCACTAAGTTCACAGAAGAACTTCTGCAGAAAGAAGTTTGTTTGCAAACTTCTACATGGGTACCATCGAACAAAACGTCTTAGTTGACATGAACTTGAAACCTGCCATATACTGCAGGTATGTTGACGACATTTTTACACAAGAACCTGATGTCGGACGTCTGCAGGAGCTGAAGGAGGCATTCGAGTGGAATTCTGTGTTGAGTTTCACTTACGAGATGGAGAAGGATGGGAAGCTGCCCTTTCTAGATGTAACAGTCACGGAAAGGAACGGAGGCTTCCACACTGCAGTCTACACTGAGGAAACAAACATAGGAATATGCCTAAATGTCAATATTGACTGCCCAGACAGGTACAAGAGGAGTGTTGTCAACGCTTATGTCAACCGTGCTCTCAGCCACAGCTCAGGATGGAAACAAGTCGATGAAGAACTCAGTAGGGTAAGGCAGGTCCTAGTCAACAACGGCTTCTCCAATGGTTTCGTTGAAGACTTCATAAAAAGAAAGGTGAAACACCATGCAACCTCTGAAGAGTCAACTGACACAACACCTGTACCCCCTATTAGACTATTTTACAGGAACTTCTTTTCCACAGCTCATAAAACGGAGGAAAGGGTCCTGAAAGATATTGGATATTGTTAATAGGAACGTTATCCCTACAGACAAAAATCAGAAGATACAATTGATGATTTACTCTAAAAACAAAAAAACGGCCCATCAACTCATGAAAAACTCTCCAGGCACAAAGCAGAACGCCTTACAGGAGACCAACGTCGTCTATGCCTTCAAATGCCCACTTGGGGATTGTAAGCCCCAAAGAACTCAGTATATAGGCAAGACAACAACATCTCTTTCCAGGCGATTAACAATGCATAAGCAACAGGGCTCCATTAAGGAACATATAATCTCTTCCCACAACCAGACCATTACCAGAGAAGTCTTAACAAACAACACAGAAATCATCGATAGATACAGAGATAGCAGGCGGCTCGACATCTGCAAGGCACTACACATTAAAAAGTCAACACCAGCAATCAACAGCCAATTAATGCACAACTATATTCTACCCACTTCAAGACTCAGTACCAATAAAAAAGCATCAAGAGGAAGTATGGGCCAATAGGCTCTTTGCAGTTACTTCCATTCTTATGCTCTCATATCCAATTAATACCCATTGTTCCGTGTCCTGTCTTGTGTTTATAACAAGTTTGTTCACCTCATCCAAAACTGTTGTACCATATCACCTCACCCAGATGCGAGTATAAATATGGAAGCAAATGGCTGTTTACAGGTTACAGTTGTGTGTGTAAACTAAAGTCTTTGAAAATGTAATGGGTAATTACGAAACGCGTTCAGGCGTCGCGTCAGACTAGAAATAAAAATTAATTTTGGAGAATTGATTTTTCAATTACCATCGACAGTAAAAAGAAACATACGAAATATTGAGAAAATTCGTGTAAGAATTATTAATCTTACTTTTTCGGTCATATTTAACAACATATGTTTAGAAGAAAGACTGCTACCAATATATATATATATATTCACCGTCCTAGTCATATGAACTGCTAAGGGGGTTTAAACAAGACACTAAGGAAGATTGACAAAATAAATATTGAAGCAATGTTCAAGATTGCAGTAAAGTAAAGAGAGGACATGTTTGGAAACTGGATATACAGAGGAGTCACAGAGAGGTCAGAAAGAACTTTTTTCAGTTTAGGAGTCGTAAATATGTGGAACCTACAAGACGAGGAAGTTGTCGAAGCTAATTCGATATATAGTTTTCCAAGTATATATGAAGAGACTAACGAGAGAAACGAGTCACTGCACTAAATTAATAACGACCGAATGACGATATCCTAAAGCAGATGCTTGACCCTGCAAGCAAAACTAGGTGAAGATAACCAAGTACTTACACACACACATACACAGGCGGGACCAAAGAGCCAAAGCTGAACCACAGCAATCACAACTAGGTGAGTACACACACACACACACACACAAACACATTCCGGGCCTGATAGCTGAGTGGAGAGCGCTCTGCACTCTTAATCCTAGGGTCCGGGCTCGATCCCCGGTGATGGCAAAAACGAAATGGGCAGAGTTTCTTTTACTCTGAAGACCCCTGTTACCTAGCAGTACATAGGTACCTGGGATTTAGACAGCTGTTAAGGGCTGCTTCCTGTGTGTGTGTGTGTGTACTCACCTACTCACCTAATTGTGCTTGCAGGGGTTGAGCTTTGGCTCTTTGGTTCCTCTTTGTGTATGTGTGTGTGTGTGTGTGTGTGTGTGTGTGTGTGTGTGGGTGTGTGTGTGTGTATGTGTGTGTGTGTGTGTGTGTTGTGTGTGTGTGTGTGTATGTGTGTGTGTTGTGGTGTGTGTGTTTGTGTGTGTGTGTGTGTGTGGTGTGTGTGTGTGTGGTGTGTGTGTGTGTGTGTGGTGTGTGTGTGTGTGTGTGGAAAAAAAATAGTAGTTTGTAACAGTTGATTGATTGACAGTTGAGAGGCGGGCCGAAAGAGCAGACCTGAACCCCAGCAAGCACAACTAGGCGAATACAACTAGGTGAATACACTCACTGGACACACACTCCATCTGATTTTCATGAAGTCTAGTCTGAAATATGTGTTGTATTATCCAAAGAGTTTTTTAGCAGTTTAGCACAATAAATTTTCTGACAGTGGAAGAAGAGAGAAAAGAGTGGGGTAGAGATGAAGGAAAGGGGAAGGAGGAGACGATGAGAAATGATGGATTGAAGCGGAGGAGACGAACTCAGAAAAGTTGTGGAAGAGTGGGTGGGACGAGTGTGGAAGAGACCCAGGCACAACTGGTCCGAGTTTAGAAGCCATTCGTTTTGGTCAAGCCTCATCCGACTTTGCACGATGATTATTATGAGGCATGTGCCCAGCATGGTCGAAGCGGAGTCGCCCGAATGCAAGAAGGAACAGCGTTCCAGGAAGATTTTTGTCACTAAGCCCGACTAAATATACACTGAAAACAAACGTTTTATAACAATTATATTTTTTAAGAGTAATATGCAACATTAATCATTGATGTCAAGAAAATTCACGGAAATTTTCTACAATTCATATTTTGGCTGTAGTACTAGAAAACACGTAACATCAACACAACCAACTTTCCTTCCATTACACCATCATACCGTAGGTCAACGATTCAAATTATTGACCCACACCTAAAAAATGGCATAGATGTAAAACAAAACTAATGACTGAAGAAAGAATTTCAGGGAAAAACCAAGACTTCTAGACCGCCACAAGATGGCCCAGGTCGTCTGGAGTTCAAGCCAGCCATCAATCTTCCTCATCACCAGCAAGTATTGACCCCCAAACAATCCCACGGGTATGAAGGGATCATGACACAACGCTGAAGAGAGAGAAACAAAGCGGAATTCCTTACAAGCCACTTATATTGACGCCTTGATATATATATATATATATATATATATATATATATATATATATATATATATATATATATATATATATATATATATATATATATATATATTATATGCAATGGTTTGTATACTAAAATCAGAACTACGTTATGAAAATTTCCCATGCATGGTTAGGTGGTAATGAAATTTCAAGTTCCACTACACATACTTTCAACAATTTGCATATGTAAAAGCCAGGACTGAGCTTCAGATATTACTATGCAGAATGTCTTTTTTTAATTTGCAAATATTTACTCGTAATACAGCACATTAAGTGACTTTATAATATATATATATATATATATATATATATATATATATATATATATATATATATATATATATATATAATATATATATATATATTATAAACGCTTTCTTTAATTTTCATGGATTAAATACAACAGCATTGTTACGAAAGAGAGGAAGAGAGAGAGAGTATATTTTGCTTCGGAGAAAAAAAAGAGATGGAGAGATGGAGAGAGAGAGAGAGAGAGAGAGAGAGAGAGAGAGAGAGAGAGAGAGAGAGAGAGAGAGAGAGAGAGAGACACCTGAATAATGAGAAAGAGAGATGAATATACATATACATAGAGAATTAACTACTTACATAAACACAGTTCACATTCTTACCCACACCCCCGAAGAAAAGGCCTCTACTAACATTAGACACGAACTACTTCATTTTATCTCTGTCTCTCATTATACCTCACTGAACACCGACTCAACTCATGCACACACATCATGCAACAACATCTGCAGCTGTGCTCGCTGGTCAGGTTATAATATCTTTCCAATGGTTGCTCTGTCACTAAACTAGTATTGATCACCTAGAACTACTGTTAAACAAAGAATTCATTAATTACAACCAAAGTGCCTACAAACAGACCCTCATAGTGCCTGATGAGGGTCTACTGCATCTCGCTCCCTCGCACAGGGAGGTGCGAGGGAACATAAGAATGAGAAAAAAGACGCAAACGATAAAATAGGATTAGGAAGAATAAGAATCGGAAGAGGGAGACACAGATGAATAAGAAAAAAATGGAAACGAATGAAGAGGAAGAAAACAAATCTTATGATAATTCGCCCAAAAAAAAAAATACATTTAATCTCCTATAACTTTTAGAAACTTAACTCATTCAATGAATGAGAGATTTATTATGTTCATGAAGAGGAATAATCACCTTGCCTTGTTGTTAAATAAAACAAATAGCGTAATACACACGTCACCTTTTAAGGGTAACCAGTTGCTGCTGTACAAAACCTCGCCGAACCGTCAAAATAACATCAACACTATATCTATATTTTGAGGTTATACATCACTCATGTAGGACTTACTTTACGGGATTGAGGAGGCATGAGCCGATATGTTGACCAGACCACACACTAGAAGGTGAAGGGACGACGACGTTTCGGTCCTTCCTGGACCATTCTCAAGTCAAATCGACTTGAGAATAGTCCAGGACGGACCGAAACGTCGTCGTCCCTTCACCTTGTAGTGTGTAGTCTGGTCAACATAATTTAGCCACGTTATTGTGACTCATCGCCTGCATGAGCCGATATTATCTCTTGATGATGTAAAGACGTTGACTGGATCTCTGTTTAATTTGTAGTAAATTTGTACTCATTTTGTATTGGATTTAATAATTGCAAAACTCTTGTTAAGCTAAAACGCTTCTCGGAAGTTTAGTATCTATTGAAGGAGTTCGACAGGGATTAATATGTGCTGTATTAGTCCCGCTCCGCCGCCTACCACAGTCCACTAGATAAAAACAAAAAGTTTTGAGACTTGTACATGGTCAAGTTGAACTTCACAATGCGTGATCTCTGCATATATCTCAATCTTATATCAAGCATCTGGTGTACGGTGATTCAATCCGCAAATAAAGTTCTCCACTCAAATAATCTATCTCATCTCAAAACCTATATATATCTCTTAGTAAATGTACAATTACCAATAATGATGAGCTAATAAAGATTTCCTTTTGGTATTTCTTTGGAGGAAGCTGATGAACTTATTAAGTATTATACATTCAATAACCATCAAAAAATAAACATTGGCAAGCTTAGTTCAGAACAATTATGAATAAGTTAAAGGACAAAGAAACGTTTACATCTGTGATATCTGGAAATAAAAGTGTAATAAAGAAAGTGTCAACGTGTTCCTAAATCCCCTCAATCCAATACGTTGAGGAAAACAGTAATCTCTGACACAGGAAACCCCCGTGAAGTCAAGATTAAGGGAAGCTTAATGACCTGCAGTGAACTTTACCTGGGAATCAGTGTCTTAAGGTTTGGCCCAGGTGCTGAGCTTCCTTCTGGCGCCGCCTCTTAATAGTCATACTTTTATTGTCATGAAGATCACATGATCACTTTTAGAAACTTCAAAGTTATCACTTTCATGACATAACACTCAGAGGTACTAGTTCGTGGGTCTGGTGGCTGGCATGGCCTGTCTTATGATGCCAAAAAATATAATAAACACAAAATAAAAACCAGTTGGTAATCACTGTCACTGAAGCTCACATTTATTATTGAGTCTTTTCCTTGTTTCATTAACTTCACTTTGCTCGCCTGGGATTACTGTGCTCGAGCCTTCAGTAAGGGCGAGACGTGGTGGTGGTGGGGCGCCAGGGAGCGAGACTGGTGGTGGTGGTAGGGTGTTGGAGAGTCACATGGTGTGCGCGCCACAGAGCGGCGGCCGCCTCACCCTCACCTCCAACGTCACCACCAACACTGACTCCCGCCCTCAACGCTCACCTCCCTCCGGCCTCCCCCGCCATAACCCTCCACCCTGCAAGCCTGCCCTCCTCCTCCATAACGACCCCTCTACAAGCAAGCCCGCTATAACGACCCTCCACCCTGCGCGCCATCTACCCTGGCCACCATAACAGCTCTCCACTCTGATCACACAATCCACATCCTGCCACCACTCACTCACCCCACCCCCCCCCCTATTTCCCCACACACATAAATATTAGAACTGATTTCCGCCATCTTCCAGTATTCTCACTCCCACAAGACTGACTTTCACCCTCAGCCGCACCACAAAGACGTAATGCGACTAACCAAGACGTCTCTTTCGCCACAAACGCTAACAACAAACGCAATGAAATGGTAATATTGTGTTGTATATATAAACAAAAATGTTAAGGAAACGGGGACAGAACTCGCATCCCTGACTCTCCAGACACACGCACTACACACTAAACGAAGATGATCTATAAGAACCTCAACCAGACCTCCTTCTAGTAGAAGGAGGTCTGGTAGAAGGTCTACCAGAAATACTACCAGTCTGGCAGAACTTCTGGTGGAGATAATATTAAGCTCAGAATGGTCTAGGGTGTCGATGGTCACAAGTTCTATCCGGTAAGAGTGCCTCATCATTTGCTCACTGAACCCATCCCTTCTCACAAAAAAGAAAGACTCCAACCATCTAAGGTGTTACAGTTTTATTCTGCACCATCTTCAAAGACTGATTTCTACCATCCATCACTGCCATAAAGACTGACCATCACAAACACTAACTTTCACTTTCTACGTTATCACAAAGACTTACTTCGACAGTGTTCACTGCAGCATGCGCTGACATCTTCTATACCAGGACACTAACAAGCCTCATCAAATTACATCTATCTCTACAATTGCCCCCCCCCCCCCGTACCCATCATGACAACTGCTTCTGTAACTGCTCAACCACAGCACCTCCACCTCACACTACCATCTATCACAATAATCCATGAACTTATACATTAGTTGTTTCATGATCAAAGAGATGAAATTCCTCTGCAGACACAATGCCACAATGCATAATTATGATTCCCGAAGATAAAGAAAGAAAGCCTATGCTGGACAAATCTCGCCGTGGATATCAAATAAGGGGTTCCAATGCTGTAAAGGAAATTTATTAATATATATTAAGACAATAGTCAAACAAAATGGACAATATTGAGAGAGAGAGAGAGAGAGAGAGAGAGAGAGAGAGAGAGAGAGAGAGAGAGAGAGAGAGAGAGAGAGAGAGAGAGAGAGAGAGAGAGAGAGAGAGAGAGAGAGAGAGAGAGAGAGAGAGAGAGAGAGAGAGAGAGAGAGAGAGAGAGAGAGAGAGAGAGAGAGAGAGAGAGAGAGAGAGAGAGAGAGAGAGAGAGAGAGAGAGAGAGAGAGAGAGAGAGAGAGAGAGAGAGAGAGAGAGAGAGAGAGAGAGAGAGAGAGAGTTCTCACGCTTTCTTTCTCAAATTTTAAGAGGATGAGCCGTAAATCTGTGGCTGAGCGAGGAAGCTCTCACACAGTGCGATTATACGTGTCTTCCTGCCTTAATTTCCCGAGGTGACGAGACCCCCGGAGCAGGTCTGCTGTAAGAGTCAGAGTTCCTCTTTAATTTTTTCCCTCCTTATTCCTTGATCTCATGTTAAGGACACGTACCATCCCTTCATTACGGAATAGTTATCGTATCCCTTCCAAGGGCCGTTACAATTACACTGGCTTGGCGCCTTCTGTTGATTCTTATTGTACCGTTCCTTCTCCTTCTCCATTATGAGCTACTAGCGAGTTATTCTCAGCCCGTTCTTTTTGGTTTGCCACTCAGTAACAAAAGTCAACGGTTTTGTCTAACTAGAAACGTACGAATCTAAACAACTCACCAAATCTATCGAGGCCGATGCATAGTGAACATCAATATTAATGTGTTTGACGTTTATCAATATGACGCATTTTTTAACTGGTTGGTCGAGTCACTAAAATCAACGACGTATTTGGTAAGAAAACGAGCTGTCAACTTCATACGAAAACGTACGTAGCTCGTATATCGAGAACACTCTAAAGCAGATATTTTTTTAATCTTTTTAATTTGTTCATCCAACTCTTGTGTTTTAAAAATAATGCAGTCATGCGATTCCTCTGTACCAAATATATTTTCATAGTTTAGGTGCGTGAGTGGCTTTATGTTACAATGAAAATATATTGAGTCAATAGTTTAAAATAATCCTGTTTTAACTTTGGTCCTGTTATAAAGAATTGGCTCTAGAGATAAAGTGATATGTGACGATTTTCTTTTTTGCATGCGACCTGCTGATGGTGCAGTTCCTTGGAGAGTTATAATTATTATCAAAATAATTAACAAAAAAAGTTATAATTAAAATCTACTACAAATCAAAACTTTGTTTTCATAAATAATGAACTCATATGTAACGGTTTCAAACGCGTATAAATATGCAATAATAAATATTAATCCACGAGAATTACAAACATATTGACAAGAGGTTTTAACACAGAACAACAGTGGTCACATATGTAGGTGGTTATAACAAAGGCGATCTATCTTGAGGTTATCTTGAGATGATTTCGGGGTTTAGCGTCCCCGCGGCCCGGTTCTCGACCAGGCCTCCTTTTTGTTACACAACCCCAGGAAGCAGCCATTAGCAACTGTCTAGCTCCCAGGTACCCCATATTTACAGTACCCCATATTTACTGCTTGGTAACAAGGGCATCAGGGTAATAGAATCTTTTTGCCCATTTGTCTCCGCCTCCACCGGGGATCGAGCCCGGAGCCTCAGGACTATGAATCCGAAGTGCTGTCCACTCAGCTGTCAGGCGCGATGTCAATAGATGTGACATCAGAGCTATAATATGGCGCCATCTTGTCCGACCGAAATAATATATTAAAATATATCAACGACCTAACATTAACCTCGTTGCATCAGTTTAAACATTCTAACATAAATAAGATATTCACAGATAGTCCTTCATTTACCTAAATTTACCTGACGGCACCATATATCTAGTGGCCTCGACGAGGACAGGAAGCTGGCGGCTTGTCAAATGTTCTACTTTGAATCCCTCCCCTAATTTTTCCTGAGAAATTTTTCCAATTGGTGATCGTGGGTGACAATGAATGTTACAATAGACTATAACGTTGTAACAAGACCTATAACTGTCTCTTATCGTTTCTACTTTTAAATTTGAGATTATGAATGGAGTTATCTTCTACTTCTTGTTTAATTTACTCATTATCCTACTATTCTGACACACCATAAAAATATCTTTCTCCTATCGTTATTGCTCATCTGTGTGAGTATGTTTGTATGTATTTACATTTTGTGCCTGCAGGGTTGAGCTCCTAGCTCTTGGACCCCGTCTTTCTAACCATCAGTTGTCTAATGGACTGACTCCCGAACTTTTTGTCTGTATTATATATGTTCTATATATTTGCACACACGCACACATACACGCACACACATACACACACACACACACACACGCACACATACACGCACACACACACACACACACACACACACACACACACACACACACACACACACACACACACACACACACACACACACACACACACACACACACACACACACACACACACTGGTATGGGGGCTTGGTAGCCTGGTGGATAGCGTGCAGGACTCGTAATTCTGTGGCGTGGGTTCGATTCCCGCACCAGGCAGAAACAAATGGGCAAAGTTTCTTTCACCCTGAATGCCCCTGTAACCTAGCAGTAAAGAGGTACCTGGGAGTTAGTCAGCTGTCACGGGCTGCTTCTTGGTGTGTGTGTGTGGTGTAGAAAAAAATAGCAAATAAACAGATGAGAGGCGAGCCGAAAAAGCAAAGCTCAACCCCCGCAAACACAACTAGGTGAATACACACACACACAGACTCACACACATCCGCATTATGCTGCCCATAACAGCTGTTTCCCAGATACCTAGTTACTGTCAAGTGAACAGAGGCATCGAATGAAAGAAGCGCTGCCCAATTGTTTCCGCCTCAACAGGAAATCGAACCTAGTCCCTGGATTGTGAATCGTGGACGCTGACCACTCGGCCGCGCGTGTACGTAAATGTGTGTGTCCACAGCAATACCTAGAAAAAAAACATAACACGATGGCAACACATTTACCAACTTCCATCAGAAAATAACCTTAACCCCACATTTTAAAAAATCTTTTAAGATCCTGATGCCCCGGGCGCTGCCAACCAAAGCAGTATATTCATCCACAGTCACTGGCAAATGGAAGCCCTGACCAAATACTAAATGCCTGGGCGCAGGAAGACCCAACTTGAAAAGTTCACTTCGTGTCGTGCAGTCCCATTACTTTCTTGGTTGGAGGAATTATATTCATTGTACATCTTTTATTTAAAGACGATATTTTCATGATCAAGTGAACTAGGTTCTCATGTCTGAGTCCCTAATTAGCTACATATCTCTTTACAAAGTTCAGCGACAAGAACGTTAACTCCAAAAGATGCTGCAGGAAATACCTTTGAAGTACAATTAGCTTTGCTATAATGTTGTTCCTTAGAGCGAAGAGGCAGCCTTCTGAGAAGTAAATGCACAAAATACCACCACAAGATTATGATAATGGTCTTGTGACAATGCATCTCATAGTAAAGTTATTGTAAACAAGAAAGCTTGCTACGAAGTACCTATGGTAGCAGATTATTACTCATTAAATGTCGTGTTATCCTACGTTATCCACCTGGTACAGGGAACATGATGAACATGTGTGTATAATCCTGTAGGAAGCGGGGGTTGGTTAGAAAGTTACCAGTAAATGTAACCAATTATGTTAACCTAACTATGTTAATAATAAAACCAATTATGTTAACCAATTATGGATATAATATATCACAGAGATTAAAGAGGCGAACGTATATAGTTCTCGTAACTAATAAACTGTTAGGGCTTGACTGGTCATCTATTCAAATTTTAAGT